TTTTGACTTTATTTTAACCAAACTCGATTAATTAGCACATTTTTTTGATTGTCGTAAATGCATTTACATTGTTTTTTTCTGCTTTATTATACTTGTTCTATATATCCAAAGAAGATGTAGAAAGAGATGGGTAAAAACGGTTTAAAGAAAGGTCAGTGTATCAAATCTATTTATACTAATTGCTTTTATTTTATAAATTTTATTATAAATTTTATTAATAACATTTCAAACACATTAACATTTTTTTAAGCGTTTATAATGTTGAACTTGGTATCGCAAATAGAAATTTTTTTATTAACTGGACCTTTAAGTGCTGTTTGCAGTACATTAGTTATTTATTTAGCGATAGAATGTAATACATTGGATGAATATAATACTATCAGTGATTTAGCGGAACAAAAATAAATGATAACGATCAAAAGTTAAAAACATCGAAATATTACCACAGGTTAGTTACATATTAAAATAAGGTTTTTTACTTGATTATATTAATGACGATACTACAGAAGATAAATAGGCCGTTTGACTGGTTGTAGCTGAAGACTGGGGAATGCCGACCCGGAATAGCGATGGTTTTAGGGATGAAAGTCCCTCGAGGTGTCAAGAGCACTGCTACCTCCCCGGAGCAGATTCCCTATCCTATATAACTTGGTTAATATTTATTAATAGGCCTCTTAATATAAATTATAATATATTCAACGCTTTTATTGCTTTCAACCGTAATACGCTTTTATATCTAGATTGCATCTACAACAGATAATATATGTTAGTTTTGCGCGAAACGTTTATTTATATATATGCAAATCAGATATCTAATCCCAGTTAACTACAAAAGAATTATATATTTTTTTTTGACTATATATAAAGTTACGCACGGTCGGATAATTCACGTCGAGAGATTAAGTCAACGGGTAGGAGGATCTACCTATATTGTAATTGTACAAAATTGAATGTGAAAATTGACCATGTGATATATAATAAAACGCGCGACTTATCTTTTATTATTTGTTTATAAATTATATAGATAATAGGACCTCGGAAACTTCTAATTGAGATCCCAGGCAGACAAGGTAAAAAACATATAGAAAAGTGAAAATGAATGTCATTACTTGGTGGTGTTGATGATGATCTAGGTTGTTGTATGGTAGTGATTTTCACAATTAGCCAATGTAAATTTAGTATGTAAAACCTCTCAAATTGCCTGAAACCTTAAAATTAGAAGTTTTCAATATTCTAATTTTTGTCACTCTGCTTAGATTTATTAATTTCTAATAAATCTATCACTTATATAGAAACCAGTGTCCCAGTCGAACGAGTTTTTTCTGGGCATCAAAGACGTTGTAGCTTAGAACCTAAAATAATAATCATAAGATTTTGTATGTGTTTAAAAAGTTGGTTACGGCAATGAATTTGTTTTTAATAAATATAAATAATTTGAAATGGATCATGATCTCCATTCTAATTTTAGGACTTTCGCTACAACAATCAAACCTCGTTATGACGAACGTAACCTAATTAAATACGTGTTATAACAAACCCGTTAACACCCGTTATAACGCGACTAATGAATTTGTTATTATTATAACGATTTTTAAGTGTCTAAATCCTTTATAACGAGGGCTGACTTCATGTATATAAAAACAGGATCCTTCAAACATTTCTAAATCGTAACACGCATTCAGCTACAAGTTATTATAATTTTTTTGTGAAGTTATTATGTATAGATTTGTATAGTTAACGAATTTTAGGATGCTCGAAATTTTTGGTTCAAATGTAAACCGAACCGTTCGGAGCTTTGGTAATAATTGCTTATTTGCAAAGAAAACAAAACAAAAAATCATAGGATAAATTAATAACATTAAGTGTTGTCATGTGGCAACTGTTCTTTCTGTTGTAGTGTTAATTAATATACATATCTGTATTGATAATTAGCTGGTATATTACTTTTCTTCCGATTTTCAGGTTATATCTTTGTGTTAATGTTCTTTTATCAGAACTTACGTACGAACCGGCTCGGACCGATTCGAATCATAGTCAAAAAAATTTTTTGATTCGAATATTCGATGACTCGATTTGAACCATCAATTATTCGAACGATTCGAACCAATTATATAAATTTTCAGTGATAAAAATTTAACTGTTATCAAATTGAAAATTATTATGCAAAGGTTAAACATTTTCCCTTTTCAATTATTGGAACAAACTTTACACTTAGCAAACTCATCATGTTCACCTATTAAATTATAATGATCTCTAGTACTAGCTCTCCACACTCTACACCTCCTTTTTTTTTTGTGGCTGATTGGAACTAATTAAAACAGGCAAAGATTGTGGTAATTGTAAACTCATCATTTGTTTAAATCATCCATGGGAAATTTTTACGACCAAATTCGCTGAAAATCTTTACTTAAAAACCAAATATTCGAATGATTCTATCCCAAATTACTGATTCGTAAGCTCTATCATATGATTTTTCTTTCTTATAAATTTCATAAGTAATCTTTCCTTTTCTTAGAGCTTGTGCATTTATTTTAAAGAAATTTTTTCACCTTGTTCTCTCTTCAAAATATTTCTAATTCTTGGGTTCCATGGTGGATTTGATATAAATGAGTTTATATTAATTATTTTTTTTACATATAGTACTTGAGAAAAAACAAAGATAACAAACGGGACATAAATTGTTTAATAATAACAACCACATTTCATTGGTTTGTTTCATGCCCCATATATATTTTTTTTATTTACAAGTATCAGATAAAGGATATCAACAATAGATGCTTTCTTCAGTTCTGCATTACGAAACAAATATTTGGGTCTTTGCCATTTGCTCTGAGCTTAATAATTCATCTTTATCAATGAGATTTGTCATCAATACAATTAAGAGATTTTGTGAAAATAAACTTATCATTAGTGTCAGAGAATTTTGTAGTTGTAGGCATACCAGCAATAGAATAACTTTTATTGTGATTATAAAAAGCAACGATATTTAACAAAATCGGTTCGAACGTGAACAAGAATCCACAAATTCCACAAATAATCCACATTGCACATTGCAACATATAAAGTGGCAAGTTGGGATCTCCGTTAAATTGTTCTAATGATAAAATGGCACCTGACAAATAAATTATATCTAACGATACTATCATTATTATGGTTATTTTATATAATGGTGTGTTCCAATGTTTTCGTCCGTCATATAATTTTCTCCCAGCTAATAATAAACACGACCAAATTGTTGTCGAGTAGATCAACGCGAATAATTCATGATGAAACCAGAAAGTTGTTATTATGAAATGAGATTCCTGTTTGATACGATAAAAGTTTAGAATTGCCGAGAGCAGTGTTGTAATTCCTGAGATCAAGCTGTCAGTTTCAATGGGGAGAAAAAATAATAAATAAATAAGGAAAGAAAGAAAATCAAGAGTTTTTTAGTTAAAGAAACTTATCACGGGATCCAACTAACCATGCCATTCGTAAACATGTAACCTTTATGATATTGTGATATGTTAAAATACAACATCCTATAGCACTGATGCTAATACTTGTAATTGTAAAACATAATGATATAGTTTCTTCTTCCATTAAATTGTAATTATGATTAGCGAGGAAATTGGTGGATTGTTTTAGAGTTGTGTTATAATTTGATGATTTTTTTACACGATGTTCTTGACAAACGTTGTTGAAAAATATTAAATTTTCATTAGTAGGGGGAGGAAAGGAAATTATTTTAAATAAACAAAAGAGTGTAAATATTTATTATATAAGATTGATATTTTATTCGTTTTTTATTAAAACGATAGAGGAGAGAAAATTCATAAATTAAATTGTGTAAAATAAAAGATTACAGATTTATATTTATATATATATATACGTTAAAAAAAAACACAATAATCTTTATGTACAAATATTTATATTTGTTTATTATTGTTATTTTATACGTCAATAAAAATCAATAACAACAATTCCCCGATTAAATTTTGGTCAAATTACACAAAATAAAAAATAAAAGAATCACCAATAAATAGAATAAAATTTTTGTAATGTAACACTAGTAAATTCAAAGTGTTTCGAAATTAATTGGTTTCTTGCCAATTATTTTACGTCATGTTTAAATTTCATGCAAAAACAATATTATGAAAATATTTATTTCTAGTGTCATCTGGAAAATTAATTACTAGTTATAAAACTAATGCAATATTATTGGCAACAGAACCATCGGTGTCAACTTGTGATCCTCTAGGTATTCGGCTGAAGTCATTTACGACAACTTTGTGTTTATCGTTTATACTTGCTCCTTGATTCGTCGCGTCAATTCCATCATTCAAACAATCAGAAACCTCTTTATCTGATGTGCCATTATCATCTTTCGGTAACCATATAGCAGGTTGTATTGATTTTATAGCCGGATGCAGATAAATCGTTGATATTTTGCCACCAACATCCAAATTAACAACATCCAAACCATCAAAATCTTGATTACAATAATCATCTTCATCGTCCTCACCATTATCTGTTGATAGTTCTTTTGTCCCAATCGGCGCATGCGTTCCTCCAAATCCACTTCCACTTTCATTAACGGTTTGGTTGATTATTAATTTTCCTGTGTTTACATCAACGGTTCCCTTAAAATCAGCCGGCAAAAATTCAGCTCTTGGATTAACATTAAATATTTGTTTCATCCAAAATAATGCAGCAATGGTAATGATGAATAGAATAATCATAAGAATAACAGGGTAAAAGGCTGTTGTCAATGACATTAGTCCTATCATCGTCAATTGAGAAATGTAAAGGCCGACGAATACTTGATAAATACTTGGTGGAAATAATAATCCGCCTGACTTGTTTGGTTGTTTGTAAACATATAAAAAGTTGTATTTGTAAGCGAAATGATAGAATGTGAAATGTAGAAAAACCAACGGAAGTATCAATGGTTGAATTGTCGAATATACAATTCCTGTATATTATATGTGTGTGTGATGTAAAAATTTAAATTTCAAATTTTAGGTTTGTTTTTTTTTTTTGGAGGAAAACAATTTTAAATAATCATAAAAATCTCACCTATCGAAGCCATTAAAACATGTGTAGGAAACCTAGTACCCCATTCGACATACTTCATATCTTTTTCCAAATGATAAATGTTTCTTGGAGTTTTTGCCAGAAATCTTTTAGATATCAAATAGACTATCAATGGAACAATTTGTAATAATTCCATTGCTGAACCCGATAATGACAAAAATACATAGGTTAGGAAGAAAGTGGAAACTGCTGGTAACTTTGCGGCCAAAACGTTGACCGTATCCCCTACATTTAAAATGAGGGGTAACGCTGATAATACCCCATTTGCCAATGCTGTCACCAGCAATACATTCACTACTAAAAAGAAAAAATATTTTCGTTGTACACTTATTTCCACTCTGGAATGTGTCACTATTCCCTCAAATTTTGATAAGACTGTGTTAAATAAATGCATGGGATATATAATAATTAACAAAATTAATTATAGAATAAATTTGACTAAAAAAAAAACAGAATAAAAAGAAACAATAGGTACTTCTTAGAATTACAGGCAAAATTGTCATTAATATTGCTAAGCCTACAGGCGGTATAATACCCTGAATTGGTCCAGTAATTGATTGTGGTAATACTCCAGACTTTAAAAATGGAAGAATTTTTGTAAGATTTTCGTATTTACTTATCAATGCCAAAAATGTAACTATATATAAAGAAAAAACAATAGTGATTAATGTATATTTAGAATATTTAAAATATTTAGTAATTAATAGTTAAAAAAAAATTTATTGTTTACCAGGTAAAAACCAAAGTAATGCTAAGGCAGATGCAGCTAAGATGCTAACAATTTTTTTGATCATTAGTTGTTTCTTGGTATAATTCAAATTATCCCAAATAACATCTTTTGCTGCAATATCATTCAAATTTTTAGGCCGTATTGAAGTAGCAGCCAATTGAGCGCCGATATAATTGTTGAATTGTATAAATGCCGAATTCAATTTTTTGAAAGTTACTGGATTTTTTTGCAAATCATTTATACTCTGATTCAAATCCAATAATTTCGTATGATACGTAGTCAACGAATCAACCTTCTTGCCAACAACCGGTATCTTGCGGTGCACAGGTCGTATTTTCTCAGTGTTATCATCATTAGTGTTATCACCATTGGTGATTCTTTTATTTTTTATTTTGTGTAATTTGACCAAAATTTAATCGGGGAATTGTTGTTATTGATTTTTATTGACGTATAAAATAACAATAATAAACAAATATAAATATTTGTACATAAAGATTATTGTGTTTTTTTTTAACGTATATATATATATAAATATAAATCTGTAATCTTTTATTTTACACAATTTAATTTATGAATTTTCTCTCCTCTATCGTTTTAATAAAAAACGAATAAAATATCAATCTTATATAATAAATATTTACACTCTTTTGTTTATTTAAAATAATTTCCTTTCCTCCCCCTACTAATGAAAATTTAATATTTTTCAACAACGTTTGTCAAGAACATCGTGTAAAAAAATCATCAAATTATAACACAACTCTAAAACAATCCACCAATTTCCTCGCTAATCATAATTACAATTTAATGGAAGAAGAAACTATATCATTATGTTTTACAATTACAAGTATTAGCATCAGTGCTATAGGATGTTGTATTTTAACATATCACAATATCATAAAGGTTACATGTTTACGAATGGCATGGTTAGTTGGATCCCGTGATAAGTTTCTTTAACTAAAAAACTCTTGATTTTCTTTCTTTCCTTATTTATTTATTATTTTTTCTCCCCATTGAAACTGACAGCTTGATCTCAGGAATTACAACACTGCTCTCGGCAATTCTAAACTTTTATCGTATCAAACAGGAATCTCATTTCATAATAACAACTTTCTGGTTTCATCATGAATTATTCGCGTTGATCTACTCGACAACAATTTGGTCGTGTTTATTATTAGCTGGGAGAAAATTATATGACGGACGAAAACATTGGAACACACCATTATATAAAATAACCATAATAATGATAGTATCGTTAGATATAATTTATTTGTCAGGTGCCATTTTATCATTAGAACAATTTAACGGAGATCCCAACTTGCCACTTTATATGTTGCAATGTGCAATGTGGATTATTTGTGGAATTTGTGGATTCTTGTTCACGTTCGAACCGATTTTGTTAAATATCGTTGCTTTTTATAATCACAATAAAAGTTATTCTATTGCTGGTATGCCTACAACTACAAAATTCTCTGACACTAATGATAATACAACAACTTGTCCATCATCACCGTTACCACAATCGCCATTATCATCATCACCATCATCATCATCATTATTACCATCATCACCATTACCATCTTTGCTATTACCACCATTACTATTACCATCATCATCATTACCATCATCACCGTTACCATCACCATCGTTACCATCATCACCATCTTTGCTATCACCATCATCACCATCATCATTATCACCGTTACCATCATCATCGTTACCATCACCATCGTTACCATCACCATCGTTACCATCACCATCATCATCATTATCATCACCACCATCAACATACGAGATATTAAAATCTGCAATAATTCTAATACCAGGAATGAAAAGGATTCCTTACCGCGTCAACTCACAAAACTCATCGGTTGGACTTTGGTATATGACAATGATTGGATTATTGACATTAATGTATCTGATTTTCTATCTAATAATTTTCATAATTGGTGATATGGTCCCGTTTCATCCAATCAGTAATTCAATAGATTATATATTGAGAATCGGGGTGGTGTTGATTTATGGTGTGCCTCCGTTAAGTAATATATTGAGGTATCTCGAGAAAAAATTTGTTGGGGACAAGTTTTCTATTTTTGAAGAATTTGAAGGTGTTTATTATAGTAAACACAATAGTAGTATTAGTTTTAATAACTATCATCATAATAGTAAACATAATAGCATTAATGTTATGCGCAATAGCCATATCAGTCATAATAGTTATAATGCTATGCGTAGTAGTTATAATAGTGCTATTAATATTGTTACAAGTAATAATAATAGTATTAATGGTTGTGATATAGTAGAAAAGAAAGTGATAGAAAAAGGATAATGTTTATAATATTCATTCACATTCATTCATTCATTTATTCATTCATTCATTCATTCATTCATTCATTCATTCATTCATTAAAAGTTTTTTAATTGTAAAAATTGTGATTAAATATCAAAATAAAAATACAAATTTTTAAAAAATACAACTTTTAAAAATACAATTTAAATAAATTAAATACAAATTTTTTATGAAATTTTATTTTTCGTTGCTATATTCTCTAAATGTTCTATTAACATCTTCATTTTCTCTTAGTTCTTTACTATCTTGAAATAATGTAAATGGCGCTATCTGACCATATTGTTTTACTTTTTCCATAAATTGTTGTAAACTTGTTGCTGCTGCTACTGAAGATGAAGATGAAGACGATGATTTATCCGGTATAATTGGTGTCATTGGGGTAATTGGAGTGATAACTGGAGATGATGATGAATACATCTCTAGATTTCCTGAAAAATAACCTCCAGTATCTTCAATATATGATGCCTCGCTGCCATTACTACTACTATTACTGCCATTCTTTTTAACATCACCAAAAGATCTAGGAGTGGAAATTTCTAAAGGAGATGATGATGATGATGATGATGATGATGATGATGATGATGATGATGAAAATAATGAAAATGATGCATTTTTATTGTCATATTCTGAGATATTTGATGATTTTGATGAGTTTTTTTGTGATTTTGAGCGTTTTTTAGTAAGAAATTTAGTTGTGACATCTCTAATAAAAATATGCAGAATTCTCCCTGGATAATTTTTTGCTATATTTGTATATCTAATATTAATGATGATGGTAATAATAATAATTAGTATTATTATATTGATTAAATAATACATTTATTTAATTAACGATCTAAACTAAATAAATGACTATTTACATTTCCATATCAATCTCACCGCTATCGCCAACTAATATGAATTTACGTTTGGGAAAATCATTCA